TATATATACAATTCTTTATACCCCTGGTTCTTAATTAATTTGTTTGAAGGACCAAATTATTTTTAGAGTAGTTGATCTAACGGAATAATTTCCGGCGAGTTGAAATCATCGTTATCTAGAAACTCTTTTCGTTTAAGATAGAAAGGTTTGAAAAATTGTACGTCAATTTCAAATTATACTTTTAATGGTACTACACCAGCGGTTGGATTGGGTCATCATTTTAGCAGTCATAAATCAACTTTAGCGGGTCGCTTTACCAATGGAATCACAATACAAAAGAATCTAGACTTTTCCGCGTCATCTGGTATAGCGACGTTTTATTATCTGTGTGAAATAAATGATGCAATGTAAATGAAAGAACAACAGTGAACAGAACAGAACAAAACAAGGAGACGGAACTTTACAGCATAGAACTCGACGTGCAATGCTAATACTGTTCTTTGGTTCACTACTTTATTACCATGTAAAAGTTATTATTATTATTATTATTATTATTATTATTATTATTATTATTATTATTATTATTATTATTAATATTATTATTATTATCATTATTGGCTTTTCGCTATTACCATTGCAGCCATAGTTCAAGTCTCACTAATAACGTAGCAGTGAACTTGGTTTTCGTTTTTTAATTTTTGGTTTTTTTTCACTCCATTTTTTCCACTTCATTAAAATTGTATTGGTTTCCGTGTTTGTTTTTTTTTTACTTTATATCTTTTTTTTTCTCTGCCAGGAGATGTGTTTTCGTTTTGTGTGTTTGTGTGTGTAACGCTTTGCTGTTTCATTTTTTTTGTGTACAACATATCTCAAATGGTTGAAAATGACGCTTTCCATAATAGTTTGTCATGTTTTAATAAACAAGTGTTTAAATTTTGGTCACGATCCGACGTATGGTGTGGATATGAAGACTATTTAAAGAAAAGTTTACCGTATTACCCATAGGCTGAAACAATAGGTATATGATGATTCATGAATATTTAAATTAGTTCAATTACAGTAAATGTGTACAGCGTTCTATATGTACTACCTTCACTTTTCGGAAATTATTGGGAATACTTCTAATTCATCTGTACATTTTAACATGTGGCGCTAAAAATCAAATCCCCATATTTCTATTTCCATAATATTTCCATTTCAACACCAATACATTGCATGCATTTTGTTCGTCAGCTATAAAGTGTAAAACGTGCTAGCAATTGAGGTCAGAACATGAAAGGAATTGGCAGGTGCACAACTGGTACAATGAAAGGCGTTGGAAGTGTGATCATATTTTGCTGTCAATAGATATGGACCCTTCAAAGCAAAACGTCGCAGATCAGATATCTAATCAACTCAACTTTCGTGTTAGTTTTTTTTTTTTTTTTTATAGAAAGGGTTTTGCGGTGGACGGTACTAGGACATTTCGCCGAATGCCAATTTGCCAACGGACGTTTGGCCGACAGACAGTTGACCGAAAGAAAATTCACCGACACCGGAATTCGCCGACTGGACGATTCGCCGACAGCCAATTCGCCGACAGACATTTCGCCGAGAATTTATTTTTGTAATGTGATTGATGATTTTTCGTCGTACTAGGACATTTCGCCGAATTCCAGTTTGCCGACGGACGCTTGACATTCACTGACACCGGAATTTGCCAAAATCGAATCCGCCGACTGGATGATTCGACGACAACCAATTCGCCGACAGACATTTCGCCGACAATTTATTTTTGTGACGTGATTGATGATTCTTCGTCGTACTAGGACATTTCGCCGAATGCCAGTTTGCCGACGGACGTTTGGCCGACAGACACTTGACCGAAAGAACATTCACCGACACCGGAATTCGCCGAAGTCGAATTTGCCGACAAGTTATTAATACATGCAGACACACTTTCAATGTATTAATCATGCAACAAGATTCTGTCAAACATTAAATACAGGCCTATAAAAAATACACGTTCATGTATATTTTTATTAAATATTACTAAGAAAATCATAAGCGACTGTAATAACTAAACCAATATAAAGGGCATTTTTTTTAATTGGTACAAATTGAAATAAAAAGTAAGACAGGATAGAAGATACCAGGTGTGAATTTACTGCAAATTTAATTAACAAATGAAATGTACACAATATACTTTCCCCAGATTATTACGGCCCTTCTATTATTACAAAGAATAGTAATACGTTACTAGAATAGAATAGTTATTTCACGATTTAAACAGTGGCCTACTAATTTTCGTTATCATGAACTGTTAGCTCTATCACAGTGTGGAAGTTTTAAATTCAATGCTCAAAACATAATTTAACATTTGATTGTAAGCTGTGCACACTATTCGGTACTAGAAAGGTTTTGGACACGTAACCGAAAAATAAATCATCTATATGCCACTTTTGACACATCTAACCATTAACATGATGTTCACAAAAAATGTCGACGAATCGTCTTGTCGGTAAACTGGCATTCGGCGAAATGTGGTGTCTGCAAAATCTCGTGTCGGCCAATGGTATTTCGGTCAATAGTCTGTAGGCCAAATGTCTGTCGGTGGATCATCTAAATATGCCACTATGTGACACATCTATCCATTAAAAATGTTGGCGAATTTACTGTCGGCAAAATGGCTGTCAACGAACCACCCTGTCAGCAAACTGGTATTCGGCCAAATGTGGTGTAGGCAAAATCTCGTGTAGGCGTATGGTATTTTGGTCGATAGTCTATTGGCCAAATGTATTTCGGTGAAACGTCAGGCCACAAAAATTAATCTTCTAAATATGCCACCTGGTGGCACATCCATCCATTAACATTTTTCGGCGAATTGCCTGTCGGCGAAACGTCCTGTCGGCAAACTGGCATTCGGCGAAATGGTATTTCGGTCGATAGTCTGTAGGTCGGATGGTCTGTCGGCCAAATGTCTGTCGGTGAAACGTCCGGGCACGACAAAATGTCGGAGAATTGCCTGTCGGCGAACTGGCAGTCGGCGAAATGGTATTTCGGTTGACAGTCTGTAGGCCAAATGTCTGTCGGCCAAATGTTTGTCGGTGAAACGTCCGGCCACGGTGGTGGGCGGAGATATGCTCTCTAGTGAGTGCTATTGTTATTATTATTATTATGAGTCTTAAATCATGCATTAGGACTCAACAATCATTAACATTTTAAATTTTTTTTTACATTTCTATAACGTTTTTGCTTTCCCTGAGCTGCCATGTCAAATTTCGCTGAACTAATAAGAATACCAATCTTGGGATTTTTTTATAGTTCTGTTTACAAGGTTTAATGAATTAATGAAACCATCCAGTGATCAATTCTACTTACGGCCTATATTATATCGCTCAATTTTAAACCATACCCATGCACATTACAAACAGGTTGCCTTTTGTGTTTAAAAGAAAACGTATTCCTTGTACTTTTTAATATATTTCTTATTACTGTAATTTGTTTTTCCTCATGAGCCAAATTAAATTGCCTTGCCAAATTTGACCCGCGGGCTGCCTATTAAGAACCTAAAATTTATACTATAATTGAAAGGTGAATTTTTCAATAGGTGATTGTCTCTTAAATTGCTAGGATAGTAGTCTCTTTAAACTGGGTACTGGAGCTTTTCCCCTTAGAGCATACTGTGTCAAGACTGCATACAAAGCTGGGTAGTAGAGGAACCAGGGGGACCCTCCAGGGCCCCTTCACGCTGGGAGCCCAGGGGTTTAGCCACAAGAACACAAAGGCATTACGCCACTGACTGGTGCTATTTAACTACGGTATGTATGCGTATTAGTGTGGAGAAACAGTTGCTTTGATAGAATTTGAATGCGAGTGAGCCATTCGAACCAGCGCCGATGACTTAACTGCTCGGCCAAACAACTCGCCCCAAGTTGCCCGCAAACAAGTCCACTACCTCACCGCTGCATTAACTTCCCCTTCATTAATGGCCTGATTTAAAAAACAAGAAAAAAAATGGAATATATTTTACACTGTTACTGTGGCATTATTTATTTATCATGGTGCATTAAAAAAACAGCACAACAAACAATAGCTATTTCAACTTGACAGTCTAACATGTTTACATCAGAATCATATTATATAGATATACTTTCATCTTTGTTAAAATATAAACATCCTGAGCATGACATCCTGAAATTTGCTGTGACCTACATAACCCCATATATATGTGTTTGTCATCAGAATTACAACCGTGACTATAATAAAAACATGTTGGTCTGCCATAGTTAAATTGTTTATATTAATAACGTGCAGTACACGCATACAATAACATTAAACGGCAAGAACATGTTAAAGCACATTCAATAGCAAACATTAAAGGTACATTTTTATCTTTGGATACTTTCATAATACTTTTTTTCATTTAGTTTTGGCATATTATATACAATTAATATTTTAGTCTTACTATCACCAAAACACTTAAAATGTGTTTCATTTCCGAAAATATTGAAATTATTTGTTATAAATGTATATGTCTTATTTCATTTTGAGCATACAATTATTAATACAGTATATAATTTGAAAATACAATATCCTTAAACATTAAAAACTAGAAAAAAAATAGTTTTTTACCAAAATAAATAAAATACTGTATATTTTTTGAACAATTCAAAACACAAGAAAAACAAATTAATAATTGGAAGAAAGGAACTCTAAGGCTACATTTGGAGGTAACTGGTAAAAATGGAAGCAAAGACATTAAAATACAATTATGGCTTTTGAAATAAAGCGATATAACTTAAATTGTTATTGCATCTTTGGAATAATATTTTTACCAAATACAAAATATACATCTCTTACATCCTATTAATTTTTGGGTTCATTATTATACTGAATATTTACACAAATTTTAGGTGGCTCAATAAAAAAAATTGGTCAATTAATCAGGTTTCCTGTACCAAAGCTGGGGAAGGGGGGACTTCAACATATCAATCGTGTCTAAAGGCTTATCCAGACTAACAAATTGTAGACAAAAACATGTGACGTGCCTAAATATGGTCATGATGACATCACAGCCTTACCATATATACCTGGGTTCAATTCCTGCCAGTTGCAGGATTTTTTCTCATGACATAAACAACTCCACTCCCTAAATCTCATATTGAGATTAAGTTTGTGTAAAGCATCGTGTGTGTATGTTTGTCTTGTGTAAGGGATTGTCACCTACAAGTAGGACAGTGATATATATTCGATATTGGCAATCCTTGGCACATGTGTTGTGTGCCTAAAGAAAGAATAATAATATACAGGCACATAATGACTATATATGGGCATACAACAGCTTTTTGTCACAAATTTGAGTGTCTGGACAGAGCTGTATATGACAATCAAGTACAGGTCTCCCTCTAATTAAAAACCCCTCCAACTAAAGACCCCTCCAATTAAAGACCACTTTTCTGAAGTCCCAAAAGTAACAAATTTCTTTTATGTTTATTATTCTAATTAGAGACAACCTTCTAAAGACCACAGAAACCCCAGTCCCAAAAGTGGTCTTTAATTGGAGGGAGACCTGTACTTATCCCCGATTCCCCGTACTATGATTTGGGTGCTGACTTGGAGAAGAAAATGTTTCTGAATTTGTGACTTTCAATACGACTTTAACTCTTGTTTCTAGAGCACATACCAACATGAGCACCTGTGAGTCATGCATCGGCGGGCTTTACGCCTTAAATTGCCGATAAACGGTGCAGTGTTGGTTTGGTTCGTTTTGGCGTTTTCTTTTTTCTTTGTTAGTCTAGGTTCATGGTTTTTTTTCTCATTCTCTTGTCCGTTTCCTTCCGTTGTTGTGAAGCGCCTCGAGGTTGGTCTAACGGGAGGCGCTATACAAATCGCAAATTATTATATTATTAATAACATTTTGCGCTATAAAAATGCATTTAACCATTAACCAATGGGTTGGAGAGGTGGATTATAAATCTAAACACTGTACTGTTATTTCAGAAAACTAAATCACTTCAATGTATTAATATCACATTGACTAATAATCTTGCTTTTCTCATGAATGTTAATTAGTTGATGACTGTAGCATTAATAACTATTTTCCAGAAAACTATATTGCTTCAATGTATTATCACATTCACGAATAAAATCTTTTCTCGTACATCTTAATTAGTTGATAACTGTAACATTAATAATTATTTTCCAGAAAACTAAATTGTTCCAATGTATTATCACATTCACTAATAATCTTTACTCATAAATGTTAATTAGTTGATAACTGTATTCTGAATAATAATTATTTGCTGGAAATACTAACGTAATGTTATTTCTAAGAAAGAATGATAATGAACAACTGTATATCATAAGGCAAGACTTCTTTTATGCCTTGATTTGCAAACTCTTCACTCGCTAATAATAATTGTTTTCAATAGAAAGAGCTTTTTTGCACACCTACAGTAATAATTTTTTTTTAAATAAAGCTATTTTTATCCGGCCTGCCACTGCCCATCGATTCTAATGATATACAAATAACTGTATATTTTGTAATAATCTTTTATCAACTAATTAAATAAATAACACATTAACTCTAATCATAATTGATGCCTAATCATATTGGTGAAAAAAAAATAACTTACAGTAGTTCTTTGTGTGTTAAATGTCATTTTCTAAGTTTTCATTGTTTTATATAGGGCTCTGCAACTAAAAGCTTGCTTATTCGCAGAGTTCCCTTTTCACGAATTGATCATATCCTTGTACTTATTTTCCCTTTATTATTATGAATTATCATCACTTACTGTACAAATTGTTATAAAAGTGAAATAAATATTACTTGAATTGAATTGAATTGAATGATAAAAATTATTAAGGTTTTAATCAAAATTAAGTAAATAAAGAGAATTTACTGGTTAAAGTGATCCTTTCTCGAGTTCCAATCAAACTTTATTTAAAAATGAGTAATTAGAACAGGGCCAGGAACATACGCATGTCTAACGACCACATGTGTTGCCCCACAATCGCATGTGTTCGCGTACGTTATAACACTGTAATTTTGTGGGACCTTAGCAACAGTATCCAAGGGGCGGGGCTTAGTGGAAAGGTCCATTATTTAACTGTTTATTTTGCCAAATTGCATTTTTAATAGAACAATATGATAGGATTCAGTTACATATTACTTCAAATATTTGCATCTTTTTAATTAATCTGTAAAACGGTCTATGTATACTTTTGGTAGAACCATTTTGCTAAATTATAGGCAAATTGGTTGAACTGAATAACACGCATAATTAGGAATACTCCCCAGGTAGTGGGGGAAGTTGCATGTTGTTTATGGTCAATTCTGTATCCAACGACCAGGGAAAAAAGCACCTTCAACCAGGGGTAAGCATAAACATGTAAACTTTTAAACGCTCAGGTCCGCACCATTTCCCTAGAAACCTTCATGAACTGCTTTTAATCCAATTTATGCTTTAGTAGTAATTTTTACAGATCGGTGTCGAGCCGTAAAAAACAAGGGTTTTCTAGCCAAATACAGTAGGCAAGCCGCACTTGACGCCGGGCCGCACTTTGCCCACCTGCACCCTAAACAGTTCTTCTAAAGATCTTTTCAAATATGATTTGTTGAACAAGGCATAAAAGGTCTTGCCTAAAGAACAATTGAAGATGAAACAGGTAAATGCAGAATTACTTCTGTATCTTTGGAATATAAACATCCTAAGGTCACCTTCCTGTGGTCAAATATATTGTACAGTGGTAGCTTAATTTATGCAAATTTTATGCAAATAATAAATTTGCTTACAGTTGGTTGGTAATTCTGGTGGCTGTCATAAATGAAACACTGTCCATCTTCCCCTGTTCCTTTATTCATGTTCACTTCATGTTTAGTGCTTTCATTGGTCGAATATACTGTAAAATGGTAGCTTAATTGATATGCAAATTCCATGCAAATTATATAAAATTTGCTTATAGTTGGTTGAAAATTTAAGCATTTTGCTGGTGTCATAAATGAAACACTGTCCATCCTCCTGTGTTCCTTTATTTATGTTTACTTTTACGTTTAGTGCTTTCATTGGTCGAATACACTGTACATTGATTGGTAACTTAATTTATGCAAATTTCATGCAAATAATAAATTTGCTAGTAGGTGGTTGATAATTTAAGCATTTTGGTGGTGTCATAAACGAAATGCTGTCAATCCTCCTTTGTTCTTTTATTCAAGTTCACCTACTGTAATTAATGCTAATGCATGCTTTCCATCAAGATAACAACACTCCTGCAGGTTGGAACATAACTCTGCTGAGCTGGAACAGTTCACCAGTTTGAATTATCTTTAGCATGTGCACCAGATAAATCATCTTTCATGCATACAAAAACATTATTTTGACTGAAGACTGTCCAATGCTTCAGGTAAAATTAATATTTAACTGTCAAATCTGTAACAAACTTCCGATAAAAACAATCATTTAGGTTGGTAGTCTGTTTTAAATCCTTTCTTGATGGCAAACTGTTTTAATAAAACATCCTGTAAAACAAATAAAGGTGTCTCAACAAAACTCAATGAAAACAAAGAATAATGGTAAATACACTATAGGGAAGTTTTGGAAGAATTCTTATAATTAATAATATCATTCAAATATGTTTTTTGAGAATTCTTATAATTAATAATACCATTAAAATATTATATTTTTATGTTTATACAATTTAAATTTAAGTCCGTAAAATTAATACTGTGACTTCCCATTCTGTATCTAATTTAAATATTATATTCCTGTATAAACATTATCACTGTGCACTTCCATTCTGTTAAGTGGTAATATATTTACTGTTAGACTGGATTGAAAGAAAAAATATCTGATTAATTGAAGTGAATTTGACTTTCCTCCGTTTTCTTCACAAAATATATATGTTATTAATAAGAGACTCCAGTATCAGTGATAGTTTATCGGAAGTCTTGCTTACCATGTATTTCGCCTTCGAATAGGCGACCACCTTTGGCCCCTTAAAATTTGGAGTGGTTTTGAGGCCTTCGATCTCCAATTAGAAACCTCTAAATGGAGACAATGGCTATGACTACTCCCTAAACAGCATAATTAGAGGGAAATCAAAACCGAAATCATCTAAATGGAGACCACATCTGAACAGTCACCACCAAAATCAGCATAATTAGAGTGTAATCAAACCAAAAACCTTTAAAAACAATGACCAAAACTACAAGTGGTCTTCAAAGTTTGTTTTTTTTTTCATATCCACATTTTGTTCAAGCAATAATTCTCCTATTTTCCCTTTCACAATAAAAATTATTACCCTGAAGTATAATAAGAATAATAATGGTATGTGATAATAACGATAATAATAATAATAATACCATAGTGGAGTTCCAAAGTTATACATTTCTTTTATCTTAAAAGAACTGAATATTTTTTTCCTTTAAATTTATTTCTGTGTTCAGTTTTTAAATGAGTGAATCATTAATGCAGTAAAGTTTTTTAGTAACTAGCAGTGGGGTACCAAATTTAAACAATTGTTTTATTTTAAAAGAATTGAATATTTATTTCCCTTGAATCTGATTTTCTGTTCAGTTTCTAAATGAGTGAATCATTAATGTAGTTAAGTTTTTTAGAAATTGAAACCAAATGAATCATTAATGTATCATTAATCGTCAAAATATTAAATTAATTATTTTTCTTTTTTATTAATTGTTTTGCCCCGGACCAGCCAAATGCAGTGATGACCAGCAAGAATCTAGAATTAGGAATTCCCAGGCCTATAATAAAAGAAAAAAACTGATTGACCTTGATCTTCAAATATCACATGAATTAGAAATAAAATAAAATAAGGATTATTATTTTTTGCTAGTATAAAAATTAATTACTGTAAGAGGAAAAATACAAAACTGTAAATGTCATGAAGGAGTAAGAAAAATATGTATAATACAGGATTAAAGTGAAGGTAATAAAATGGCAACAACAATTATAAACAATACATAATGGCTATTGTGACATTCACATGTCACCTGCCACTTTCAACTAAAGACTCATTTCACAATTCAATCGCATAAGCAAATGAGTCACACTAACCTGTTGAACAAGCTGAGTTTCTAATTTTTTGCCTATTGTCATCATATGTGCGAGTGAGATTTCTTGTTCTTCGACCTTCTTCGTCTTTTGATCCAACAAACTTTTAAAAGTGGCACAGTTTTCACAGCCGGTCGTTTGTTTAGATGCATGTTTTTTTAATTTCGCTCGCAGCAAGTTTGCTTCCTCTGAAATCTTATTCAGTTCTTTACTGAGCTCTTCTAACTGCTGTTGCCTCTCCCTAAATTGGAATAATAATATTTGATTGGAAACATAAAAGTTTGTTATACAATTTTCATAAAATTGTTACATTCTTACTATCAATATTAACATTTGACAGGATGGGCATCATCATTTTTTGGCTTACTATTATTATTATGATTTTAGTATAATAATTTACACTTTTGAACTTGTTTATAAAAGAATTCAAGATTTTTAACGAGTCAAATTATCACGATAAGTATCTTTTTTAAACAGCATACAAGTATTTCGGGCCAATAAGAGAAAGTAAAAACTTTCTGACCCTAAATTCTCTGAGGTTAGCAGTTTTGGCAATTTTTTACTACCTAGGCCTATAGTATAAACTAAGATTTTTTTGAAGGCTTGACTTTACATTGTCATTTACAGATTGTGATTTTGTTAATTATCTCTATTAAATCAATATATTGTTAATGAGAGAATGGTTGTACATGTTGTATTTTAATAGTGTAGTATAATACCTATGTTTTATATAACAAAATCGCCAAAAATGTTGTTTTAGTGTTCATTTTAGCATTATTTTAAGCGTGAGAAATATCAATTTCATAAAAAAATACTGTACAATTGTTAGCAGGCAATCGTTAGAAGGCACTGATCATTGACTGCTTCAGAACTAGGCCTAAGCCAGTAAAAAAATTGCCGTCCTGTGCCAATTCTGGTTCGGCAATATGGTCAGCAATTGCCGAATGCTGACGTGAAATTAATGGGCTGCTTAAATTTTTTAGATTATGGGTCGGTCAGACTCTTTTATAAACTTATGCTCTTTTATAAACTTAACGTTGAAATCTATAGCCCCTCGTTGATTTGGAGATCGTAGCCTATAGGCTACGGTCTCCAACTCACCTCAGGGCAATAGATTTCACCATTCCCCTTATTAGTAGTCAATCACTGTTCCGTGGTCATACTATACTACTGTACACATCACCAAACTCTATTTGCATAACATTTATACTTAATATAAAGTCCATATTTACATAACTTTTATAACAAGATGTTTTTTTTTTTGCAATACACAAAGACATTTTCATGAATCTCTATGTCTCTATGTATAGAGTATAAATAAATAGTTAATTTGCAATAATTGATATGCACAAGGATAATGATACAGATACCAAAAACACCTGGCACACCATGCATACTCACCATGAATTGTCTTTTAAGATATTTGCCATTTGCATTTTAAGTTTTTTTATTTTCTCGTCTCTATCAGCTATTTCTTGACTTTTCCTTGCTTCTAAATTATTGAACTTTGTTTCATGCTGTAGAAGATAAAAACAAACGTAAAAGTTCGAACAAAAGTACATACTGTATATAATTTTTTTTTATTGGTTGTATATTTCTACATATTTGAATAATCTTTGTATTACAATGAAATTCAACAGGCTTGCTGCAATTTGGTATGTTTTGATAAATAAATAAATAAAAATTGAAAATAAATAAATAAATAAATAAATCAATCAATCAATCAATAAATAAATAAATAAATAAATAAATCAATAAATCAATCAATAAATAATTAATTCAGAACTTTGTTTCATTGTTCTCAAAGTCTGGTTAAAGCCAAGAGAAAAAAAAACTAAAAACTTAAATAAACTATCTAATAAAATACAGGATAAAGCAATTCAGTTCTTCCTGAATTTTATTGGACAGTATTAACATCTCTCAATTACAAACATACTCGATTTTACAAACTTGATTTGTGGCCACGATGTCTTTACGAACAATCTTTTATAACTACAAAAAACACTTAAAAATTGTATTAAAAAATCTTCAAAAATATTATAAAATGTTACATCCGCAGCCAAGCAAGAAATATCAATCGTTTTCAGCCAAGAAATCTTCCATTTAGAACTGTGCATGCTTGTTCAGGCAGCTAGTGTAACTGTTGGGAATAGAGAATCTCAGCACTGAATTGCTTAAATAACAAACAACTCAAATTTTGAAATACATTGTTTAAGTTGCTAAACAGAGATATTATATACATCTGTAATAACAATTAATCGTTAATTTTAATTATTTTAATAATCATAAAATAATATTTAATTATCAACATTTTATACATGTTTCTATAAAAAACAAAACCAAAAAAAAACATACATTTTGAAACAACAATTTTATGTTTTAAAAAAGGTTTAAAGAAATAAAATTCCAAAACACAATGATTTATTGACCACAGCACAGGGATGGAATGTGGCAATAATAAAATATTTCAATGTTATATTACTGAAGGAAGTAGAAATGATTGCAAAGACTGGAATAACACATTTTAACTTTTTGACCTCAACAACAGGCAGCCCTTTATACTTGATTACAGTAGTACTAGTAAAAGTGTTGTTGTTGAGTAGTGCAGGTGATTTGTACCCTGCATTTAGAAGGTCACCTTTTCAACCACGACAAAAACAAAAAAACCAGTGTGTTAGACTGAACATTTATTTCCTTCTCACAACAATAATTATGAATGTTTAAATGATTTTCATTTGAAATAATCTATTCAAGGAGGTAATCCCAACGAAAGTAGTAAACATGTTTATGCCTGACTTGGGGACACATTAACAATAAAGTGTTACATACCATTGTGTTGATTTCCAGTATCTTTAATTGATGACGTGATTTTAATTCTGAAATTAAATTAGTTTTTTCAGTCACCAACTGTCTAATATCTGCTACTTCGGTCTTTGTTGAATTGTGGGCTTGTTTTTCCTCATCATATAGATGTTTGTAGTGCTCTTCCTGTAATCAAAATAATCAAACACAACTATGTTGTAAGAGTGTAGACTTCTTCACTCACAATATTGTTGTTTTTTTTGTTTTGTTTTAAGAGAACAATGTTTAAAAATATTATTCAACGAATCAATCAAAAATATTTTGATTCCTTCTTAATTTTCACTCAACTGCATTTAAATTATTCAGGAGAATAGAAAAACATTTATTTGCCACTGATCTCATCATTACTATATTTCAGTACAATGAAAATGTACAGAAAACAAGTAATTTTAGAAATGACGAGTATTTAAGGGTTGTACAGTTACTACGGCCATCGATTTTGGTACATCATGTTGCCTTAATTATTTGCAAAAAGTTGGGGGTGGTGGTTAGGGAAAGTTTACATATAAAAATGGGTCGAAGGGCTAAAGTGAATTTTTGATTTAACACTGAGGGCCACACCCAAACTGATTTTCCAATGTGCTTCGAAAAAACCTTCTTAGCCTGCTTTTATACCACTTTATGCTCAGCTCTAACTATTTACTTTTACAGATCAGTATTGGGCTATAAAAAAAAAAACAAGGGGTTTTCAAGCTAAATTAATTGGAGGGCCGCACACATAGGGTTTTAATTTATTTTCGCAGGCTGCAACAAAATCACTGTCGGGCTGCATGTGGATAGTGGGCCTCACTTTGTCCATCTGTGGTTTACAGCACTTTATGAGTTTATTATGTGACTGAAGCCTTGTTTCCATACAATCGCTATCCAGTCACTACAGCGTTTGCACTGCAATCCTTGCACTGCGTAGCTGCCCCCGACGCAATCAGGAAAGCTCAATGATTCAACTGACCAATCAGCATTGCCAAAGGAGTCGGCGATAGCGTATAGCGATTTTTATGGATCAGGTTTACAGTCTCTTCAGATTAGTTTTTTGGTAGACTGTTGATATAACTATTCGTTAAAAAAAAATGATAATAACATTTCATGTGCAAAAAGCATGAATAGCACAGCATTCTCCTTGGTAAATTATTCAAGCCATGTCGTAAGTTTAACTGAGTGATTTATGCCTAGGATGACTGTTTCCTCTGAGTAGGATAATTGCAAATAAGAGATTTCATCACAATTGTACATCCAATATATCTTATTTTTGGCTCTCATCTACATTCAAATGAATATTGGCCATTATCACATGAAAGATAGTATCTATTAAAGGTAGTCTAAGTAAACCATGCTGCTGCATAATTAAATTTACATGCCGACAACGTTTGGATTTAGCCAAAGTATAGTTAACCCTTGTCTTGGTCACAAGTGGAGTGGTGTTGAATAGCTTAGTGGTAATAAAGATGCTTGCCTTCTAATCCCAGTGTCCTGGGTTCAATTCCTGTAAGAGCAGGATTTTTGTTCACGACTAAAAAAAACTCCACTCCCTAAGGCTCTTAAAGAGACTTCACTGATAAAAACATCACATTATTCTATTTTTCAAGAGGACCCTGAATATCAACGATCTTTAAGGATAAGCTGGAAAGGACGCCTTCTATAAATGGTAAAAAAAAAAAACCTAAGAACATTAATGAAAACATTGCTGCAGTAAGAAAGTTGTTCGCAATCATCAGAAAATTTATCACCATTTGTAATGAATGAACCTATGACTCTGGGGAAATGTAAGCTAGGCACTTTATTTCCAAGCAACAAATCTTTAACAATCAACTAAAAGATTGGCACGTGCCCTGTGTTCAATAATTGATCATTTCTTCTGCCCTGAAAATGCCCCACCTCCTTTGCAATTACATGTTCCTTTACTGGGTCATTCGGTACAACTCCACCTTCAATAATGAAGGTCTACTGTCATACCAAGTCTCATCTGTCAACATTCGAACTGACAGGTCTTTTGTTGAATATGTTTCATTGATGATAGTGTGCTATCGTCACTTGTAAATGCAATAAGAAATTGAATCCCAAAGACATGACATTTACAAAGCTTTAACAAACCACTCTAAAGAATGCAAACCCATGCACCCTGTGCTACTGCTAACGTTATGAGCTATAATTTTAATATTAAAAGCACGCAGCCCTGATCAATACTAATCTGCCAATACCTTTTACTGTACTAATCTGCTTTCAATTCTGCTGTAAATTTTCAGTTTCCAAAATGCATCAAAACAAATCTAATTAAGTTTATATTTCAACATTACTTGCGACGAAAGCAGGTGGGATTTTTTAATACAGGAAACTAAAGTCTAAAGACATTGATATTTCTTATTGCAAGTTTAAAATTTAATACAGTATTTTAACATCCTACATCTGACAACAGATACAAATAGAAATTAAATCTGAAATTAATGCCATTTTAAGAATAAAATGTGTGATTGAAATTAGGAACAAATTTTTCTACTGTTTACCAACACTAATTCTTTTGTATTTATAAAAATTATTATAATATCATCAATGTATCAACTATTCATCCCATATTAGGCAAATTACTATTAGTAATTGAAGGTACCATTTCAGATTTGGGAGTTGATCGACATCGACTCTCAATAAATTATAACAAATTTGATTTAACTGCTATTTGCTATCTCATAGTTTGATTTGCACATTAAAGTTCAAAGTTGAACGTATGGAATTCGCTAATTTCCACTTTGTCAAATATCAATTAAATACAGACTAAAAATACCTTACTGTACAAAAGAATACTGGCAGAAAAGAGATTAAAACTATGCACGAAAAACAGTAAATGATGAAAAAGATATTATAAACATTCATTCTATAGTCCACATGATTTTGGCTGTCAATAAATAAATAGTGAAGACATAAGAATAATTTTAAATTTTATAATTAAATCTGAAACAACTACCATATTGCATTCAATTTCATACAGCAAAGCTTACTTACTGTATAAGGCAGTTAAAAGAAATAATGGCTTTGTATCATGGATTAAAGTAAAACAATTACAAGTTTCAAAGAGTAACATAGATAATTCAGCCAAGTAAAACAACTAGACCGCTTACATAAATGCCCTAAATCTGTTGATTCTACCTTAAGGAACAATAATATGCAGTTACATTGTGATTTTTACATTTAAAAGAAACATACACTATGCTTACAATGTATGAAAAGATTATCTATCTTCCATAGAAAACAATTTACATGACCGCCCGAAGATCTATCTACAATAAAAGATTATACTGCACATCATACAGTAGCTGGCAGGAATTTGCTCTTCAAATGCCAAAAATCCTCTTTATAAATCTCCTCGGGACTTTTAAGAGATCATTAAACCAAAAGCAACATCTCTTATGGAATACATTTTTTTGAACCCTGCCAAACACACATAAAAAAACATGTCAATATTATTTACATCGTCAAATATTATTGATGTACATGGAGTGGGGGAGTTGTTAAGAAGTAGTATTATTACTCTTGGTTTGTAGAGTAGTAATGTAATCTGACCAGCTATGTAGCAAAGACATTAAAAAACAATATTAAGCACATCCAATTCTTAAGATTACTGTATATAATAACTTCTTATTTAAATAACTTCAAATGATGCAGAAATAAAAAAAAAAATTTGCACGTTTTAGTATTACAAAAAGCCTCAACATTTTTCCGATGGTTTAAAGGGCACATACACATTACACAGGGATGGTACAGTATGCATCGATTATTTGGTGAGAAAATCTTTTTTAACTTAAATCTTCATTTAAAAGCCTAAAAACTAAAATATAAATAATTTCATTTCATTTTCCAAGTTACAGTAAAACCACTATTAATAGGACACATTTAGGACCTAAAAATTGTCCCTTTAATAGGAGTTGGCATGACGTTAAAAGATACATTTCCTTTTGCTCTGCTGCCATAAAAGTGTCCTCCTTACATGGATGTCCAAAAAGGGGAGGGGGGTGGGAGAGGTTCTACCTACAATGGTAATTCTTTACACAGCTGTTTTAACTTGTATTGTACAGTGATGTCATATAAAAAAGAGGGCAGTACCATGAGTGAGATGTTATGATCATAATTTCACTCATTTATTTACATTACTGCATCATGGATATTATCACCTATGGTACTACAGTAAGAGGTTTTATGATTTTCAGGGAAAAGAGCATAGAGATTGATAGGCTAATGTACGGTACTATGTGATTTTGAGTATTTTAAAGAAAAGAGCGACTCATTTAATTCTTCCCCGGTAAAATCTATGTTCATAAATAAAACTCAGGGGTTACTCAAAATAAAAACCATTTTTATATTAAAAGCATTAAGTAATATGTCCCAAGTTGTGTTTAGAAAGCCTTCCATTTGAAGTAAACTTCCTACAGACATAGGATTTTACGCGCATGTTACATCCAACGAGTGTCCACAAATTGCTTACCCAGGGGAATGTTCTTTTTACTTCAAAGCTGGTTAAAAGCTTAGAAGTGACTATGCACATTTTCTGGAAGTGATAATCACCTCTTTTGTTGTTTCTCAACAGTTATTTTAGTAATTTATATGTATTTCATATATGATTTTGTAATTTTTTAAACATTAGAAAGACTAAGACTTTACATGGCATTACAGGTGTCATTCAACCAGGCATCTCTCATGGCACCATTTTTATGAAGAAATAACAAACAGGTTATGTTTGAGTGACCACTGGCTGACATCATGGCGTAGCACTACCGTATTTACATTAACTAGTAGCAGAAACACACTTTAACCATCCAAACGATAACATCACAAAATATCATATTTCATTTAAACAGCAATCAATTCAACTCAAGTACTACATCCTGTAAGATTATACCACTTGATAAATATTATAAGATGTTGAGCATTTACAAAATCAACAGATATTTCAATAATATGTACACAAAGGGATGAACACAAAGAGATGTCCCCAAGGTAAACCTTGACAAAGTCCTATCTTAAAAAAGGCAGAGCTGAGGTGAACATAGGCAATAACCCAGTAACCAGGTATCTAGTTGTTTAAAGAACTACCGCAGATATCATTGTCAATAAGACAACAATAACAGTGTTTTGAGAAACGTGTAAAGCCGTTTTTACCTAAAACAACAATTTCCTGGTTTTTGATTGATAGTTTATAAATAATAACTTGAGTAAAAACAATCACAATTTTGAAATATTTTTCAATAAAACTTCTAATAAATATAACAGCTAGATATATTCATATTTGGGATTAATACAATAATTTTAAATATTAAAATTAACTCTATTCAAAATTTTTGTTGGTAACTGTGTCATCTATATATTTATTTATTTCAACAATATTTTACGAGGGTGGTCCTTTACCAATTTTATAATTATTATAACAATTGAACTCTACAAAAAACATTGCTTTAAATATGCATCTTTTAACATTTTTAGATAACATTTTTTTATATTATCTTTAATATTAATTAATATTTTATGCATGTCGTACCTGTACGTGTATTATCAGGGAGCATATGTTTAATAGTATTTTACTTGAATTTGATATAAAATGAAAAATTAAATAAGTTTGTTTTAATAGGAAATTATACTTTATAGTAAGTATTACTTTACCAAAATAACTGATGATGGCGGCAGTGGTGGGAATGATAACTACGAAGGTGGCAATGATGATGATGATGTGATGAATATGATGATTATGTGGTGTGATCATGGTAATCTAGTAATGATGATAGTGGATGACTGAATAGTTGATAATAAACAGTGAAATTAACGACAATGAAATGACTGGCCTGCCTATTTGCCTATTAAACCAGCCACACGCTGGTACACGCGCGACACCAACTTTCGGTATTGTCCCAAAAGCCATCAGCCGACTCAACATGCACCTGGCTACATTCATAAACAACACATCTTTCTGATGATGACAAAAGTACTTATGATTCTATTAATGTTAAATTACAGTATAAAACTTACAGTTTTCTGAAACTTGATATATAAAGCATCAATTTCTTCTTGCTTTTGCGCAATTTCATTTTTAAACTGTTCATTAACCTTTTGCAGAGATTGGATTCGATTTTTATACTGTCTCTCACGATTCTGCAAAAAAAAAAAGAAATTGAAAATTCCAGCAGCAAGCAATAACTGTTTGGTCAATATCGTGATAGCAATGCTCAGTACTGCAGCATAGCACGCAAAATGAAGGTAAAATACACTGAAAGAAAAATGATTACACTGTGATTTTTTTTTGTGATTTGTGATTTGCAAGGGTCCCCAAGCCTCTAGGAAGCCATGGGAATCTCCCGGAAATTGAGACGTCCTCCCACACTCCTGCAAGCAAACAAGAATCTCCCAGAAAATAACCCATCTCCAGCAAATGTTAGGCCAAAAAAAAATTTTGGGAAAAATTGTGAAAATCCAAAAATGTGTAGGTTGGTAGGAAAAATTTTTTTTTTACCAAAAAATGTGTTTACACTTAAAAAGTAGAAAATACGCAGATAACACCCGTAGTTCCCTGGGTATAATTCCTGTGTGCATAAACAAAATGACAATCGTTTTGGGAGGTGGCAGAAGCATTAGAACAACTGATTTATGATTCAAAGGCCTATCCAAAACTATATTTTGGTGAAGAAATCAGAGTTTACTCGAACATCAAAGGGAAGGGAACACCCTAATTATCTCTGTGTGGAACATGCGAGTCTTCATGCTGTGAATTAACAATCCGATCAGCCCACTGGATGGGTCTCTTATAGGACAAGCCGCGGCGTTGTCTATTTTTAGCCGCAGCTGTAGAACACGAGTCTTCACGCTGTGAATTAACGATCCGATCAGCCTACTGTTTTTGTCTCTTTAGGGACGGACCGCGGTGTTACCTCTTTTTAGCCGCAGTTAGCGAGCTTGTTTATTTTAGCGACAGTAAACAACAAGAATTTACAAAATGGGCTTTGTATTCACCTTTACGGCGACCAATGTCAATTCAATTCAATTCAATATAAAGTTTATTTCCACATGTCTGGTCTAATCAATTGGAAGAGTTTCAGGTCTGCCGAATTCGGAGCCAAATCCTTTATATTTTGTGAGCATTTGTTAAATTTGCCAACCTAGACCTAGGCCTACTCACCTAAATTATACCCTGGGACTTTGCCCGGGGAAATGCCTGCCTTATTTGCTCATAAAAAAAATGTTGTTTGTTGCCAAAAAAAAAAAACTAAAATGCCGACCCTTAATTTCGTAAAATTTGAGTCGGTCGGGCGTGGCCAACACAATAATTTTTATTTTTGCCTTGCCAAATTGGGACCCCGGATTTATAAATAATACAAATTATATTTTGGCTGAGCACTTAAGGCAGGAGCACCCGCAACCTATAGCCAGAGTGAGTTTCACGCTCACCTATGGTTCTGGTGGTGGGACAACTCTTTTTGGATAATGAATACTTTATAACCCTTGAACCCAGTGCACACAAATGTAGAGGGTTACGCCAATGTACTGGTGCGAACAGGCCCTATTGTGGACAGACAGTGGTGTATCTAGAAAATGGGGGTGGGCTGATGGTGAGCACGAAGGTCTCATGGGGGGACTCGATGATTAGATGAGGGGTGCTAGCTCACAAAATAAGGTAATTTTAGGTGATTTTTAACTACCTTAGCGTGATTTTGTTGGAGGCCGACTGGGGAAGGCACATCCCGCTAGATACGCCACTGTGGACAGATGAGAGTAGTTGGCACCGATTTACTGCGTAGCTCAAAAAGGAAGTCCATGCATCAAGGATGTTGAGACTTCTGTATATAAAGTGCTATATAAATCTCACTGCTTTACATAAACATTAGTTTATCTTACGTTGTTACCATACAAAAAATATGTTTGCATAATTCAGATTAATTACCTGATATTCTTTTAATTCTTCTGATTTGTGGTTTGGGTCTGACCTGGAGGTGTGTGGCCTACTACTTGGTGTCCGTGGAGTCTCCTCTTTTTCAGCAATTCGTTTATGAGTAACCATTCCATCACCTTGCACAGAAAGTCCATGAGCTTTGAAGTATTTTTTTCCAGATTCATTCCAGGAACGTGTCAAAGGTGGAAAGACAACGCCACGGTTAACTTTCACTGAACCAAGAAGTCGAGCGTTTGACTTTGGTGTCGTCATTTTTTCCTTTACATAATTGTTACTTAAATTTGTCAAAACCAGGAAAGAATTTCAACATGCTGGTATTTATCCTAATTTAATGCAGACAGAGTCTGTGAAAGAGAAACATTAATATGAAAACACTAAAAGCGCATACTGAGGAGATGAGGAAAGTATAATACATACTCCAAGTATTGAAATGCACACCATCATGTTGGGATTCAATATTTCAACACTAATTATCAATCATCATCAGGAATGAAAAAAATGCCCATATTGAGAATCTTAGCGTCTAACCAATCAAAACATTACCTCTAGTAGCAATTTATACATATCTTTGCAAACCGACACAAGTCACTGGCATTTTTACCGCTGGTCATTGGATTCACATATATTTATTGGCAAACCTGCACAAAAGAGCAACCTTTTCCAACTGGAAAGTATTTCTAGTCATACTTTATTGATTTAAAGTACACTGAATCCACAACATCCTACATAGGTAGGACTACCCACTCTTGGGTGGAGACTGAGACAAACGTAGGTAAAGTGCTTTGCCAAGCACACAAGCAAGCAGTTTTAATCCACTGACCTGTAGTATTAGACTAGAGCCATTGCAAATGCTGTGCCAACTGCAGACGTTCTAATCCCTAGAACCCAACATTTTGGTACTTTGGTGGTATTTTTTCCGGAAGAATTTGACAAAATTTAGGAGACCGGGAGATTGCATATAAATTTGTGAGACTGCTGATCAAATCGGGAGGGTTGCAACTAATCCCAGGGAGTGTAGGATGTTATTGCTGCACTTTGTACATGTTTGTTGAAATGGATGGTGGTGTCATTTAATTTAAATTTCAGTCTTACTACGCGAGTTATTCTAAAAACATAGGCCTATTCAAAATAAAATACTAGGCCTAGACTCTATCTCCATTTAGCATGCTGAATTACGGTTTTCAACCTATAATCAATAGGATTAGGGTCGTAGCGACTGCGAGGGAAAGCGGCCGCGCTGAAAATGTATGGAACGCCAGTAGCGCTATACCGATTGATTGGGATACGGTACGGTATAGCGTTGGTCAATAGCGTTCATATCGTACTCGTCAATTCTAGTATTCACTCAGTTTTATTTGATCAGGCATGTGTTTCGAAATGAAGAGAAATCAATGTATAATTTTCATAATTTAATATTTTTTTTATTTCTCGTAGTCTTCTTGGCCCTGATTAATTAAAGATCGATTTGTTTACAGATCAAAATATTTTTGTACGTACATGACATAACTGAATTATGATATGATTAAATTGATATTTATTGTTATCAGTTCGGATGTTTATGTATAATGAACTTTTATTTTATATTTCTTTCAGGACACAAACGGATTTAAACATAGGATCTGTATATTGATATTTATTATATGTTATCAGTTCGGATTTTTATGTATATAATGAACTTTTATTTTATATTTCTTTCATGACACCAACGGATTCAAAAATGGGATGTGTCAATACTAAATTTACAATTGTAATAAAATGTGAAGAACCTGAAAAACATAGGTCTAAACTTAGTGAAACTGTACATTGTCATTATTATTATTAATTTATTATTATTATTATTACTATTATTATTATTATTAATTATCAATCATCTTCAAATGCAATGACAAACAGATGTTCATTCACTAAGAACAAACTGAATACTTGGTTAGTAAAATTCAAATAAACTAACTAAAGAAGCAACTTAAAAAGTACCATCCATTTCTGTAAGAAAATAGGCATACTATAAATCATAATATTTGATATAATAAATATACAAACTAAATATTAAGTCTCGATTTATATAGGCTATATATAAATTATGAAAGGAAATATACATTAATTTGATAATTGATTCAAATGGTATTAATATCGAACTCTGATGCCCATTGTCCAACATACATTTTGCATACTGCACGCTTGGCGCTCCATAAAATTGCTGCGTATCGACTTGTGGCCGCTTTCCCTCGCGGCCACTCCGACCATACTCCAATCAATCAGACAAGGGGGCCTATACTAGGCTTTATTTATTAGTACTAGCTAGGCCTATTAACTAGGCCTACTTATACTGTATTTAATATTACATGTTGGATGGGATAGTGCATTTGGCATGTAGACTCCTCTGGCTAGCGTACACCATGGGCCTACCCTGCCCTAGGCCTACCTGGTCAGTCACATCCAAAGGCTTGCAAGCCTCTCGTTCGCTAGCTAACTAATAACTATGGTGCATTAGCCTAGGGCCTACCAAAACACTAAAGGTAGATACTTACAAAAAAAAGTAAACATTACGGAAGCACCATTTATCAGATCCCCATTATTTTGATTGCTTATTTCATTCCCTATTACTAGGCCTATCTAGGCCTCCTGTATTTCTTTGGCGATCAGGAACACCTGCCTGATATGCCTCTCTCTAGGCTCCTCTCCTGGGAGGAGGCAACCGTATTTTGCGTCCGTGGTTACAAGTAAGAGGGCGCTGTACAGAAATAAAGGAAGCAACATGTTCGCTGAGAGATTAGATCACCTCGAATAGAAGCCGAATGGGCTTTTGCAATTCAATTTCAATTTAATGGACTTCACTTTTACAACAGTGGCACACATAAAACAAGTTTTATGGTGCATCCAAAATACCTTAATACAATACAAAATTTAAAAAATAAAACTTAATTGTAAAACCAAAAGTATGTTAATCTACAGTCTGAGTAAAACAAATATTTAAACCATTAAACAATTACAGTAAAGAAAGAAGAGTTGATATCAATAGGATCGCAATGGATGTTCAAATGCATACGAACCTGTCTCAAAGAACAGAGATGGTACCAAAAAAAATACAGATTTAAGACACAATATAACACAAAACAAGTTTTATGGTGCATCCAAAATACCTTAATACAATACAAAATTTAAAAAATAAAACTTAATTGTAAAACCAAAAGTATGTTAATCTACAGTAAAACAAATATTTAAACCATTAAACAATTACAGTAAAGAAAGAAGAGTTGATATCAATAGGATCGCAATGGATGTTCAAATGCATACGAACCTGTCTCAAAGAACAGAGATGGTACCAAAAAAAAATACAGATTTAAGACACAATATAACACTTAAAAAGGTCTAGAAATATTTCCTAGACTTGTTGAGGTGGTAATTCAGGTAACAAAATATTTCTTTCTTTTATACACCTTACAATTAACTGTTTACAATGTAAATCAAAAAGGTCATTAACAATATTGTAAGGAAAAACATTGGAGAAATTATCAAGTAGTAAGTGGCGTTTACACTCATTAAACCTATCATAAAATACATCCCAATAGGATGATAATCCCCATGTTTCAAGATCATTCTGCAGATAAGACAATTAGAGTCTCCTATGTTTTAAAGATGGACAGTCAAAAGGAAATGATTGAAGTCTTCAATTGACATAGGCCTATACATTCACACATTTTGCACAAACCGGTGTGTTTATCAGACCAGGATCTTTTCCTTCTTTCAAAATCCAATGTATTGTTTCTGGCCTTAAACTTTCTGAAGCAGATAATTTTCTAAACCTGGTTGTATTTTATATTTAATTTAATCACTTGATGATAGTACCTCTTGCTTTTTCAAACCATTCTTTATTACTATTATTATTTCAAGCATTTTGATAAACAAAATTCCTTAACCAAAGCTGCCAATAGTTATTAAAATCCACATTGAAGTGTTCATCTAAACTACACTTATTTAGCAAAACTTTAATATTATCAGCTTCCATTTTGCATTTGGTCCAACTTCCAACAAAGCTACACGAGAAGAAGCCAATCTCATATTGAAGATTTCCTATAGTTTGCAAAAGTAGTTTCGAAAAGAAAAAGAATCTCGATAGCATGGGCTTATTTTCGAGATTGTACAATACATACACTGTACATGAATTTCAAAATAAATTAAAACACGTTTGGCTTATAGGCCTATGGTTAGGTGATCCCACTTTGGCCTTTTGATTGTTATAATCAAAAAACAAATTATAATAATTGAAATTGTACCGTAAATTATTAAGTCAACCAAAAAAAAAAAAAAAAAAAAAAGATGACATGATAAAGACACTTCATTGTCTTCTTTGTTCGCCGCTTACTTTGAATGGAGTATAGTTTTCTTTATTATTGCAAAGCAAGTGAATCCTTTTCTGTACGGTGCGGCCTATATCATATATTTAATTATGTCACAATTTACAATATTCACAGGTTTTCATATTGGCCGTAATTGGTGAAATAGATCATTGCTGAAATCGAAATACTGTTGGACATCCAGTGTAGTGAATATGAAAAACCATAGGCGTAGATCCCGGGGGATGGGGGATATACCCCCCCAATATTTGACAAGCGGGGGGGGGGTGGTCCATTGTATCATCCCCCCCCCCAATATTTTGACTATGTATGGGATAAAATGGAGCTTTACACACAAAAGACTGTCACAGAAATAATTTGCACTGTCTTATGCGCTTACAAAGATGAAAATTAGCATAATGTATTAATGTTGATAACAAAATTTTATCTAGGAAGTATAATACATACTCCAAGTATGTATTTCAATACTTGGAGTATGTATTATACTTTCTTATCTGAGATTAATCAGTGGACCTTTCGGTTTTTTCAAAATTTTATCTGGTACCAATCTAAGCTCTTCTTTTCTTAGATGTTAGATGTGCTTGCAAAGAGAGCCACATTTCACACTGAAGGGTGTGTACGACATCAGTAATGTTATGTCAATTCCAAGAATGTTTAAGGTTATATCAGTTGATGAGGAATTTATTGATTAAGCCTATAATAGCAAATTGCATCAATTTATTTTGAAGTTTCCAGCTTCATTTTTTATTTCAACCATCTTTAAAGATGGTACCGTAACCCTTGTAGTTTAGCCCAGTAAGTTAACTGATATTCAGGGGCCCTCTTTAATAAAATTAAAGAACAGTACAAACAACATCATTGCAACATAATAATAATAATAATAATAATAATAATAATAATAATAATAATAATAATAATAATAATAATCGTTCCACGCGCCTCAGGATATTGGTTAAGTAACAATTATTGTTGTGTCTTCTTAATAATGTGACCATTATAAGTATTTTTTTTATAATAATAATAATAATAATAATAATAATAATAATAATAATAATAATAATTATAACATACAATCCTCATTTCCCGGTTAGTAATTTACCATACCCACCCCACCCCCCATATAGAAAAAAATACGACATAGGGCTTATCTTATTGATAATATAGGCCACACACGTGTGTTTGAAACTAAATATAAGCATTTTCATCATGGTTTTATTTATTACAAACATATTCTTTCACCATCTATACACATTGAGGCCCTTCTTTTAGGTTAAAATTATCTTAAATTTGTCTTTCTTGAGTTTGGGACTATTATGTGTTTAAATAACTTAAAAGGATAAAACTAAAAAACCCTTGAAAATGCGCGCCAAGCGCGCAAAATATTTTTGTGTTTTTAATTCTGATTTCGCGTCGGAATTGATGAAAACTCCCTAAAATGTGCAATTATTTATAAAGGAAATTGGCCTACCGTAACAAGAAATGCGCGCAAAGAATTTGAGAATTTTAGGCACTTTCAGGGGATGCATTTGTCAAGGGGTGGGGAAAAATTTTCCAAAGATGGATATTTTCACCTTGTCCCCGGTGTTTTTAATTCTAATTTCGTTGGAATTGATCAAAACTCCCTAAAATGTTCAATTTTAAGAGGAAATTGGGCCATTTTAACAAGAAATGCGCGCGAAATTTGAGGTTTTTAGGCACTTTAAGGGGATGAAAGGGCATTTATAAAGGGGTGGGGAAGATTTTTCAAAGATAGATATTTTCCCCTTGTCCCCCAGTGGTTACGCCATCGGGCAGCATAGAAAGGAGTTATGACAGTTTTTGAAGTGGAGAAGGGGTTGCAGGGTGTTGTGAGTCTGGTCATTATGATATCTTTTCTTGTCTTTCTTTTTCTCTTCTCTTTTTCTTTCCTTTTCTTTTCCTCATCTTTCTCTTTCTTTCCCTCTCTCTCCCTCTTTCTTTTCTCTTATTACCCAGCCCGGTACGACGGCTTGGTCAGTCTGGTAAAAACCGTCAGGGGAGGGAGTAGATAGTATGCAGGTTAGGTCACAATAGAATATTACGTCATCATAATTCTTAATTATTTATTCATAATTTTATTAATTTTAATTTTCCTCATAATGGGTTGAAGCATATGAAGGGAGGTATATGAGGGTTTATTGAAATATTAAAAACAAAAGGTGGTATTAATTAAGTGGGTTGTGTAGCGTGACGTGTTAGGTTTGTCATGTTTCCTTAAAATTTATAGTCCACTATTGTGTGCTCTTTAGAAATTGGTAACAATGAGAGTGAAAATTGAGACAAAAGGGAGATAAGTCCGACAGTGCTGGATTTACAGTCACAAAAGAATCTTCTTGACCATTTAAATAATGAGGGTATTGAATTTGAAAACAAAAGGGTTAGGTTAGGGGGATATCGGTGACAGTTTGGTGACTGAAAATTTGGTGACTTGAATTGCCCGGGTGAATGTAATTTTGTGACGTGGTATGGAATGGACGATTTCTATTGGCTCATGTAAATAGCTATTTCTAATTGTTTAGATGTATCAGTGACCGCTGATGACTCTATGGTTTGAATTACCCGCTTCTAACGTCATGTAATACCTTTATTCCCGTAGTGTATAAATTTAGGCTAAAAACATAAAATTAGTTTCAACTACATTCAATTTAGTCTTTACTTTAGGAATACCTATCCACGAAGATCGTGTTCAAAGTTGAAACATAATTTGGTTTTTAGAGGGAAAAACATGAAGATGGAAACTGAACGAATTGCACGAGAAATAAATTCAGCGTTGGTGGCACATAAACTAGGCAATGGCATGGAATATATAGAGGATATGAACAGTAATTTTTTAAAATATTGCGAAAAGGTGTATGAAATGCATAATGAGCATCTTTATAATTTAACTAAAGAAGTTGTTCTTGATTCAAAGAATTCAAATTCAAAGTTTTTCAAAGACATTTTAACAGAAATGTTTAGCGATAATGTCATAAACTGGGGCCGTATAATTATGGTTTTTGTGTTTGGAGCGAGGTTAGCTGTTTTATGTAAAGATAGAAATAGAACTGATTTGATTGATCAAGTAATACAGAATGTAGACAAATACTTGAAGACGGAATTTTTGGAATGGATTAATATCCAAGGAGGTTGGGTAAGTCACTTTTTTGTATTTACATTCATTGATAAAACATTTAATTCGTGTCTATATACAGTTTTATCATTAATCATTATTTTAAAAAATGAATATATTTCCAACTGTATAGGCTTATAGGTACATATTTTTTTTCAGAACAATTTCGATCAATCGTATACTCAACACAAAACGACAGCAGAAATTCCTCTAATGAACGTTTCGTTAGGGATAGCGTTAAGCCTAATAGCAACCTTGTATCTATACAACACATTCTGTTAGGATGATATGTGTGAATTATGTGTATATCGACATACACTTGTCCAGGATGTTTCTTTTGCCAGCCGTCAATTGGTGTATAAAATACCTACAGGAACTTTGCTGGTGAATTTTACAATAAAGGTGAATCTGGTCCAGAGTCAGAAGAAAATGGCAATGGGAAAACTACACAGAAATATATTTCGATGTTCTTGTAGGACTAGAGCGAACCAGGTAATCTGGAATACTGGTATTTGTTTTCATGCAAAATTTGATCAAATCAAATAACGTTAACTTTTATTCTACAGTGGGAAACGTTATGCCAGTAATCGAGCATCACAACGCGAGATATTGAAGGAATTCCCGGAAGAGCGTTTGATAAATGAACACTTAATACATGAATTTTTAAATTATATGATGATCTGTATAATTATTAGTTTGAAACAAAATAAATGAAAAGCACTCTTGCTTATTGTTGAAACATATGACTCTTTCTTTTTGAATTTAAATCGTGTACCTTTAGTGGAGCAATAAATTAAAGGTAGGCTAGGCCTATACTACGACCCTAAAATCCTGGTAGTTTCAGAGAGGGTAGAATCAGAACTTAAAATGGTTACAATAGTGATGGCGAAGATGATGGTGTTGATGATGAGGATGATGATGATGATGATGGTGATGATGATGTTCAGAAAGACGATATACAATACTATTTGATTGTTTGATATTATTGCTCTCATAATAAAACGTCTATACGAAATACAAATTCAAATGTATACAAAAGAAAAATAAACACGAGAACACACATGATAACCCTATAAGATCGGAATATAGGGACCCTAAATATTTGAAACAAACTTAATTTTAATTTAAACTGCTATCACAATATAATATAATCGATGAACTAGAAATGTTAAAATAATAACCTAGTAAAATCCAAATTTACCTAGAGAAAATAATAAATATTTATTAACCGTACGAAATACATAAAAGAGTTGAAAATACTCAAACCGCGTAATATTATTAACAATTAATTAGAAAATTCCCGGAAGAGGGTTTGATAAACGTACACCTAATACATGAATTTATAAATTATATGATGATCTGAATAAATTATTAGTTTAAATAAAAATAAATAAAAAGCATTCTTGCTTATTGTTGAAACATATATATGACTCTTTCTTTTTGAATTTACATCGTGTACCTTTAGTGGAGCAATAAATTATAGGTAGGCTAGGCCTATACTACGACCCTAAAATCCTGGTAGTTTCAGAGGGGGTAGAATCAGAACTTAAAATGGTTACAATAGTGATGGCGAAGATGATGGTGTTGATGATGAGGATGATGATGATGATGGTGATGATGATGTTCAAAAAGACGATATACAAAATATATGCCTAATATGTTACATAAAAAAGTTACAATTATGAAGCGAAAATTTAGGTATATTGAAAACATGTAAATAAATTCAAATATGAATTTCTAATTCATGATAAAACGGTCGAAACTAATAAAAATCTATCGAGTAAACTGTAATCAAAATATAAGATAGTTTAAAACTAAACTACATAAATCAGTCAAATATAAATGAAATATACTTTAACAGATTACAAATCAAATAAAATACATTAAGAAAGTACATAAAATAAATAACATTGTCAATTAGAAAGTAATAACCTATTTAAAACAACAATTAATTATCAAACATGTGCACAAATTTAATCTACAAATAAAAACTTGAATGAAATATTTAACCTAAAGTAAAATAGGTTAAAAACACAAGTTTATGTAAAATAAAATGTTAGAATTTAATTGAAATTACTTAAACAGATGAAGATCGTAAAATTTTTGGTAACTACTTAAAGAACGTTACCATGTAAAACTATTTGATTGTTTGATATTATTGCTCTCATAATAAAACGTCTATACAAAATACAAATTCAAATGTATTCAAAAGAAAAATAAACACGAGAACAAGATGAAAACCCTATAAGATCGGAATATAGGGACCCTAAATAACAAAACAAACTTAATTTTAATTTAAACTGCTATCACAATAATATAATCGATGAACTAGAAATTTTAAAATAATAACCTAGTAAAATCCAAATTTACCTAGAGAAAATAATAAATATGTATTAACCGTACGAAATACATAAAAGAGTTGAAAATACTCAAACCACGTAATATTATTAACAATTAATTAGAAAACAGAATGTATTATACAAATGTAAAAATGTATAAGCTTAGGAAAAGCAAAATTTGTAAGCAATCATCAGTTCAAAAATACCTTAAAATGTACAAAATAAAATAAGGATAAAAAAAATTTCAATTGAATCCAAAATACCGTATTATAACTAAATTAAAAACGACTTATGGAAAAAACACATTTGTATAGACGTGAAAGTGTAAAAAACGTAAAATAATTATATTAGAAAATCATAAATTCATACACAAGTATAAAAATTACATAAACATAAATAGGAACGAAATATTTTAACCAACACTTCCACGTAAAACCCATTTGAAAGGAAAATTACGTACAATACTTCAACAGAAAAAAAAAATAAACACTTACAAGTAAAATGCTTTATAAGCGACAGCCATGTAAAAGTTAAATCCATAGATCAAAACCTAGTCAAATTTAAAAACATGTAAAACATGAATTCAAAATCATATTAAGAATAATTAAAGAAAAAATTAAGATTTATGTTAAGCAAGCACATTTTTAATTAGATAAACTGTTAAAATTCAGAGACGAAAAAAGATAAAGTCAGAAGAAAAATCACTGTAAGTTAAAAGTAAAAGAAATTAGAATTATAAAAAAATAATAAAATGAACGAAACGTAAAAAAAATGTACGAAGCAGTTACTCCCAAAATACTTAAAACAAGTTAAAATTGGAAAATTTCGAAAGTTCAAAACCACAATGTTATGATATAATTATATTAAAAATTAAAATAGAACAAATAATGCAAAATAATTTAGAGAAGGTATAAATATACGATTACAAAAATCCCAGGGTATAAGAGACAGCCATACTTCGGTTTGGGTGCTGGCATGGTATTCAAATTTCACTTCTTTTTATTTTGTGGTTTTGGTTTCCGTTCCATCTTTACACTTGCCTGATAGCGCTTAGAGACTTTTTGTATTTTGCGCTCTATAAATTAATAACCATTAACCATTATATATACAGCCGTAAAAAATTAGAAGACTTTAAAGAAAGGATATATTCAAGTTGATATATGTAGAATATTGCAATAAGAGAATAATAGAAAACACATGTAAGCACTTTTGAAGAACGTATTCCGATTGAAGTGCGAAAATAGGGAATTTTAAAAACTGTAAAATATAAACTTTAGTTAATTTCTAATCAGTGAATTAATAAATATCACATTGATTCCTCCGAAAATATGAAATATATGGTTTACGCAATTGTCAAACGCATGAAAGTAAGACACATTGGAACTAAACATAAACTATAATATAAAACAAACCCTTGAAAAGATAAAGATAAACTTTTTCTCTAATATTTAGATATTGCATATTAATACAGTTTTAAAGCGACTTATTCACAGATGTAATGATTATTCTATTAAATTGTAGAACACATTGAAGTTTGTCAAAATGCATCGAAAATGTTAAAATCACAAAAATTAAATTGAAATAAAACATATAACACTTATAAGCAATTGGTCTTAAAAAAAATATGATTTTAAACTTCTAAATGTTAACACTAATAAAATTGAAAAAGCTGAAGTTTATGTAAAGTAAATTAATTTTATGTAAGGATAAAAACGGTATATAATTGTAAATTAGGGTAATTACTTGTGTAAATTCTACGATGATTTGTATTTTAAGTACGACATAAAAGTTATTTCAATTACATAAAATTTATATTCTTTACATAATATTTATTTTTGTTACATAAAATTTATTTATTTTACATGTTTTTTGTAAATTTTTTTGTTGGTAATTTTTTTTAGCAGGTTTTATTTGTGTGTGTGTGTTGGTTTTGTGTATGTGTGTGTGTGTGTGTTTACATATTTTTTCTTTCATACATATTTTAAATTTTTTTTGTATATGACTTACAATGTTTTCAGGATTTGTATTTTTGACTAAAAGTAATGACACATTAAAAGTACATTTTGATAAAATTTGTTGTGGTCCAATAAAAGTGCATATTCATAACATTTTTTTGCGGTGTACAAACTATTGTTATATACATCAATCACATGAGTCATGAGTAACAATAAATTAACAGATCACTGCGGTGGGCTTGGCTAATTAAATAGAAACAGGTAAAAATAGTATACGTTTAATAAATTCTATATCTGTCGCGACTAAAATCTCTGAAATCTTACAAAAAAAAAGCGCTATGGTTATAATATAATTACACAATATTTCCTTATAACAAACACGTTTAATCAACAAATAGACGCGTTTCAAATGTCATATTGTGTTAGCCATACCATCGTAATAAGTATTGGTACTTCTCGTAAAGTGCAATACAAGCAAAAATAACACGTTCTGATTGATCGTTTAATTTAAGGCATAGGCCCAATTTGATAGGCGCTACTAACAGATTCATACATTTTACAACTACAGTATATACTTTCTCTCTTTTCATTTACAAGCTTATTATTAATAACGAATTAAATAGAAGCAGATAATAATTTTTTTTACTATCTCAACTTTCTGTGGTGAATTTATTGTTGATTTTAGTTGTAGTGATGAATGGCAAACATAGTAATGTTCATCATCATCATCTTCCGTTAATGTGAATAACCTCAGTTGAGTATAGTCGTACAATGTGTTGTACAGCACTCATATGTCGCCGTCAAAAGTGAAAGAAAGGGATATAAATAAATATAAATAAAATTAAATAAGTAAATAAATAAATATATAAGTAAATAAATATACAATGGTGAATCTTGCGAACAGGACCGCAGAGTTGATGATGGCAAACGTGGGAATTAAGCCCTCTTTATTACCATATTATTTAGAGTTCGAGAATTAATTTATTTGAATGGTGTCAGTTTGAGTATATTTACTCAACTAGTTGAGGCTTAGGAGCCTAGTATACAAAGTACAATAATAACACTAAATGTAAAACTTCAACCCTGTGTTGTCTAAATTTGCCCGTAAACATGTTAGTAAAACCAACGACAGTAATTCTAGTCCACTGTAAATATGATAGAAATGGAGAAAATTTGATTATTTCTATCGTAGTGATATTATAACAAA